AAACTTTTCCCAGTCGATTTGCAACGATACAATGGAAGTTCGTCAAAATCGAATGTATAATATCTCCAGGACTACAATTTCTCATACATCTCGTCATTCCATTGTACTTTAGTCAATAGGCACCCCTGGATGGACGCCTCACATTGACATCTTTTCAATTGACTAGAAAGCCAATGGGTAAGAAACGGATAGAAGCACGAACGAAAACGATCATCAGAGCACTTAGGGATTCTCTTGTGCTTGCACTTGAGGTATCCAAGAATAACACTATACGGGTTTATTAAACAAAACGCACGCTGATATTTGCAGACTTCGCACAATTCTTCGACTGGAATCAGTTATGTCACGGGCATTGGGGACGTTCTGTATGGCAACTATGCAAAGAACCCACCAGTATTACTCATCTCATATCTCAGTGACACGCAACTCGCCCCTGGTGAATCAATCAAATCAATAATTCAGAGTTTAGTTTTGATCATCGTTCTCAACGCATGATGTCCTGCCACACTGGCAGCAAACCTCATTTGTTTCCAAAAAGATTGCTATTATATGAGGCCGCTATCTTAGCCTAACTATCCCTTCGACTCATCACGTGGATCCAGATTCAGTGTGCTGCTGCTCCGTCATGTGACTAATACCGCTAGTATGCGCAATCCTCAACTCTGCGCAACCTAATTCCTTTCTAATATACTCCATACGGTTACGTAACTACCAGTGTGCACACTTTTCTGACAGGCTATTAGATGAAACGGAAAAATGGGATGCAGTTTGTAGGTATTTTATGCACGTGTGTGTGCTGTATTCCGATCGGCAATGGGAAAAATCGCCCATTATTTAGGTGATGTCTCTCCTTCAATAAAAGATTGATGTTGCTTTGACCTCATTATGTATTCCCCACCACCACGTGGTTCGATCCTAGTTTATTTCTTTCCACATTCCTGTTGATCATCACACAGTGTTTCGTGTGAGTGTTTCAAACGTTCTGTTTCTCTTACGGTGCACATCTGTTGTTATACTGTGTCTACAAAGTGACACAATTCCCTGGCGGAATTTTCGTCTGTTCCTTTATGGTCCGAATCGGGATTTCGGATTTTCGTCTACTATAACCGTTCCTCGCCAATGAATAAAGTTGTCTTCAGAGGGGCCAGCAAGATTCAATGCCAAACTATACTGTATTTCATAGACAGTTTTCAACGTTTTCGCAGTATTCAGGTTAAAAATAAAACGTTAAAACGTAACCTGAAATATCAATATTTATTATGAGCATTTTAAAGTGGTTGACCTCCATGGATATCGCTGGTTGGGGCTTGTTTTGCGCATGCCATCAAATAGGTTGCCATGACGCGCAATGTTTGCCGAGGCAGTAGTGGGTGGAAAAAGGTCAAGGGTGGCCAAACCTGGTATTAGGGTATGAAAACCCTTACCAGGACACTGGGTCACATTGCTATTATTAGATTCCCTGGCTGGTATCATTGTATTCAATGGCTAGAATTTCCGAGTTATTGTCTCAAACAGTAGTGCTCGTACATTTGCCCATCATGCTTGAAATTTTACTCTATATGAATTCTCTCCTCTCTTCGACGATGCTCTCAACATTCCGATCTTGCTTTTGCTCTTTCATCCAAATTGGCAGCCAAAAGGTAGCAATCAAAACCGATGCACGTAGGTGCTTCCTTAGTGGTTCTGAACACTGAATTAAAACTATGAGCAGAACAAATAGCACACTTTTTGATGGCGTCTGATATTTCCACTTTTTCTGTAACTAACTTCTTCGTGTCATACTTTCAACTAATCGGTTTATGAACTTGACGGGTATCTCAATTCCCTCTCTGATGAAAGCTTTTCTCTCTTTATCTAGATCAAATAGCATTCCATTTCCCTTCATGTATTGACAGTCAAAAATTAACTCCTCCACGATCACCAATCATAGTAATAAAGCGTTCAAAGTTAAATCGCACTCTTTTCTCATCTACAGTTTTATGACAATCAGTAAAAGCGATGCGTAACAGATAAAGCTGAACGTTCAACCAAAAGCCCGCAGTTTGGTCGGGGGTGAGTATCTAAGTTGTGGCTGGTCACCCTTTCCTTGCACCTCGCGAAATCCTCCCATACTACCAAGCGTCTCAAATAGCCTCTACTGAGGAAGCCCTGCTTACTGCCTTCTCGTGGCGGTGTTTTCCCACCAAAGAGAGAGGACGAAAAGCCGATTTCCGGGGCTATGACCGGGTTGATAGACCACTGGTAGTTCACCTAGGGGAGTTGGCCAAAAACCCTGATTCCAAGGCAACCAAGAGGAGGCGTATGAACCACACTCACGCCTTTCCTTAGCGCGCTGAGTTATTCCTCTGACTTGAATATTTACTGGAATTAGAGAGACCGACGAACGATAATACTGCAACAACGGACGAAGTGGTTGGATTTAATACAGATAACGTAGGTCTGGGATAAGTGTTGAAATTTGATCGACAAACCATTTGGAAAAGCCCGTTCTTTCTTCAAGGATTTTATGTAGCTTCTCGGATTGGGCATTTCGAACAAGGGTATCGATAACTTCCGCAGAAAATGCATTTAATGGAAACCAATGCAACTATGTTTTTGGTCTCTGGTTGGAAATCGGAAACTCCAGGACGTTGTAGTGAAATGGTGGAATCTGTCTGGCTAGTCATGGAACTACAGGGTACATGTAAGCCTGCATCGTGAGTGAGCGACTGCTGCTGTGCATTCTCCAAAGTGCGAGCCTCGTTGAAAGCACACTGTAAACTTAGGTTTTGCTTTTCGTGAAGCTTCTGGCGAATATCGTTGGAAAGCATCACGGATAGCTTCATCTCGATGTCTCTCTTAGCGGAAACTGCGACAAAGTTTCCATCCTTTGCAAGAACTCTGAGTTTTTGAGGAAACTTATCAATCGATCGTCCTTGTTCTTGTTTTTCTGTTACGGGTAGGTATCGTGCGAACACTTCGTTCTTTGGTTTAACTTGAAGCCCCTCAAGAGTTTTGATAGTCTTCATAACTGAGACAGTCGATTGTGTTGGTAAACAGACGGCAATATGAAATTCACCGGCAACATTTACTTATCAATGGTAGGTAGATCGACAGCAGATATGTAGTTACGGAATGTTTTATGCCAGTGAATCCACCGTTCGGAAGCGGATGAAGAATGAGAGTCCATATCAATTCGCTCCGAGCGATCCATCTTTGTTAGAACAATAAGTTGTGATGAGCTCAAATGATCGAACGCCAAGCAAGAGAGAAAGCGGAGAACCGGAAACGAGGCTTTAATCTTCTAACAATGTAGGTATGTTGGTCACAATAGAAAGAAAAAAACAGTGCTACCGTGGTATAACTATCCAAAGTCTCACAAAATCACAACTGGTGCCCAATTTATCAGTGGGGCCACACCTTTATCCTATACCTCACTGACCCAGAAAGTGGGCTTCATCGTCTCCTGATGTACGAAGCAAATACTTCGAGGACTGACTCGGCGCACTCGAGTGGCTTATAGTGCTAGGATCATTAATTCGTGTCTCCGATACACAACAGACATCGATTTCCAAGGAGTCCATTGTACGCGTAAGACATGCTTGTGAACCCACGTGCATCAGAGTCCTCACGTTTAAGACCTCAGATTGCGAGGTTGAAGAGGTTTCAGCATATGCAAATTAATTGGTGGTGAACTTATTACAGTGTTATCTTGCAACGAGCTTCGGTGAGTGAGAAACAAGTTAGCTGATTGAATGCTACGGATCAAAAGAAAGGGCAACCGGAGCGAGTTGGATATAGAAGACAATGAGTTAAACAAAGATAGGGATGTCTGAGTAGTTACCCACTAAACACTACCCACTCCGCTCGATGCCATTGGCAGCGCGGTCCTGATTATCCTACGCGATGACTGATGCTGTATGGCATTGTTTTTAGTTCGTATAAACATTGGTGTTCGATGGACGAATACTATTAGGGTATCGAGCCACCAAGCAGGAGACTGATTAGGGTTCTCTACCGAAGACTTTGGTTCCGAAAAGAACCTGACCACAAGTCAGCGGGTATAGTGGAGTGGATCAATTACCCCTCCAACATTTTTACCGACAGACGCCAACTAGAGTGGAACCTCCAACCTGAAAGACTAGGATACTGGACTTTGTCTGACCTCTACCGATTGATCTTCTAGGCATCATTAGATCTTCGGCTTGAAAAAAGCCATCCTACCTAGCTCCTTGGGTCATACAATGCACAATCCATCACACCACGTCAATATGCGGCCTCAACGTGAACATCCACAAATTATGTATCACTTTACAGCGGACATTTTTTCACGGTTTGTAAACAGATTGAGCGAACAAGTAATGACCACTATGGGGACAGAAAAACTGAACTGTGGTAATCTCCCTCCAGAAATACAAGATAACTCGACGTAAATAAACATCGGTATTTTTGAAGTGGATTTTTTCCCCAAGGGCTGATACGGTTTGCTGGATAGATTAGCTGATGCATACCATGATCTTCGCATCACTCCAATGCCTATGTTTTGGCCTGTTGCTTCATCCTTGGTACTAATTAAAACTTTTGAGCGAACTATTATTAAACCTCTTTCCTCTTCTATTGATCCTCGTCATTCTCACGAAGCGTCGCTCTACTACAGATGCGGTTGCTTGTCTTACACAATCCGTTTTATCCTCTCTGCCATGTTTTCTTTTTGAATTGTGCAAATGCTTTCAAATCAACTGATGTAAACACTCCGTTGACAGCGTTACAAGAAAATCTCCCGCTACATCTTTTGAATTGCATGCAGGACCATTTTAATGATTGACGTCAGTTCACATGTCTTAATAGTATTGTGTCTTCCACTGCCAATGTAAATAAAGGTGTTGAAATAAGGCAGACCCCACTGTCTCTCAATACAAGGTGATAGTTTCTCAAATAAATCTTAAATTGGCGTAGAACGTTCCCGTACGATGAGTTTACAAATACTTGTCACCTCGTCCTCTCTGTATTTCCGATGCAGAAAGCCCAATAAAGATGAACTAGGTGATTTGGAGTCAGATGTGAAAGAGAAAACGTTGGCTAGCGCAGACCGCACATTGCAGCATCATACATGCACCGAATCACCCGACACTGAATCCGACGAGGATGAACGGGAACGCTCCGTATCTGATATCATCACGGTTCATGGTGAGTTTCATGTCTGATCTTTATGTGACTTCCGCTTGCTCCGCATGAATCTCGGACGAAAACTCGCTGCTCACTACATGATCACCACAAGCGATTGTCTACCATGAACAGTATGATGTGTAAACTTTTCCTCTGAACTTGAATATGCATGGGGTGATCAAGGCATTCTGTGAATTGCTCTTTCCCTGGTTGATGGTTACACACAGTGTGGTGGCGCAGTGGTTTAGTCGCGGTTACGGGCGTGCCTTAGGCTCTGTAGTTCGAGGTTTGAGCACCGCTACCCAACTTTAACACAACAAGAGTAGCGGCCTTATTTGTTAGCGGGGTACAGTAGCAACCTCGCAACACAGTCTATGGTTTTTTTGCACCGGGACCAGGGTGATCACGGACGCCCTGGCCCAGGTGGAGACTTGCCCCTGCACTTTGGTGGATTGAAGCCTGCAACGATCCCTAACTGGGCTCGCTCAGGGGTTTAGTTTTTGCCAGTGGAGATCGGTAAACCATCCCTACCAGGGTGATGGTGGCCCGGTGGCTATGTCACCAAATTATCACCCCGGAGGAGGTGCGTTCGAATCCCACCACCGATTCGCTTTCCCCATTAAGTGTTGTATGTCAGCCCTTTAATTGGCCGCTTCCCCTTCCTGAAGATTGTATCATTATGTATTCAGTAAAAAGAAGTAAAAATGAAAAGAATGGAAAAGAATACCACGCGAGAACCCACCGTCTCCTCCAGCTCTGCCGCGGATTATCTGCCAACGCTTATTTAGTTGGTCGAGACTCATTCTATTCATCAAGTTGGTGTCTGATCCCTTGACCTGGGTCCAACCCTGGAAATGTACTGCTCCACTTAGCATTATTAACGGAATATATCGGTAGCTATTTCTGATAATTTTCTATAGGTGATGATGCATCAGGCATGAGATACACATCTGTCGATAGCCTTTCCTTGGCTTGCAAAGCTTGCTGAGGCAAGTAACTAGTGGTAGAACTCCTTACGGTAGTCATACTAAAATTTAATTTGGGAATATGAAAAGCCGAAACCAAAGGACTCGTTCACGGACGTCACAATAAACTTCTTGTTCGGGGAACATCGTGATCAACCTAATCGATGACCGAAGACACCGATCGACGAGGTTATGTCGTAAACGATGATAACCGTGCACGGACGTTCTTTTCTAACCAACTATAGTGTGCTTGATTTCTAGATCTTCATTTTAATAATGTTTTAACTCTTCCAATTTTAATTCCTCACTAGTCAGCAAAATGGGTAGCCGGAATATAGTAACCAAAAATGTCGTGCAAGTTTACTGGAAATCAAAGTAGAACTTCTTTCAACTTTATCGCCCAGTTTTACGCACGGGGAGAGCTTAATGCCATACTCATGACACTGGGATGTGGCAATCTCCGCGAATGTGTCCAGCATGAACAACAAAACAAATGTATTTTTACTTCCTGTTTTATTCATTGAATATACAAATGTACAGTCAACTTTCAGGAAGGGTGTTGCGTCCATACAATGGCTGCCTGGGGAAATACAGAAATAGGGAAAATGGGCGGCGTTGGAGCGATTCGAACTCAGAACTTCTGGGTCACAATTTGGTGACCTAACCACTTGACCACCACGGCCCATGGGAGAAACTGGATGAGCTTAACAAGTGCACATTTTCTGATTTCACTCAGCTGGAATATAGCTTCAGGCTTAAACTCTCCTCGCTTATCCGTGTACATTCTTGACTCGAAAGTCGCTTCATTGCACATAGCGACCCACGGTTTCGAATGCTGGCGTCAACGTGAAAGAATACTGACGAGAGCATCCGTATTTATCTAAGATGGATCCATTCGGGACGAAATCTGGATTCTGAAAAACCTGAGAGACTACGAAACTCCTCATGGTTGTTGCGTCGAGGAACCCATTTCTCGATTTCCCATCTATCAAATATAAATGCAAACAAGTTGGTAGATCTTCACTCCCACGGGGTTTGAAAGCAGAGTTGTATTCGATGAGTGTATTGTGACTGACACGGCTCTCGCCATATAGTCAATGTCAGAAGCTAAGGAATAGTGAGGTCTGAGTATTGCATGATAATCTTAGAAATTTGCTAGGTCCCATAAACCGAACGTCTTGCGTTCACCGGGGATCACGAACTGCACCGAAACCGTTGCAAAACACTTCTCGAGAATTTCCGATTGTGGCAGAAGCCGAATCGACTCCTCGTATTTTGCCTTCCCAGTACCATCTCTTTTGATAACCGTTTTTTCCTTCACCCTTTATCCACTTGTGCCATTGGAATGGCACACAGTCATTTGTGATGTGCCTTTTACAATAAGCCCTTTTTTGTCATCAGTGTTAGAATATGAAAGAATGACGTTGCCTGATTTATGTCGAATTACTGTGTGGCTCAAAAATTAGAGAGCTTGCTCAAAACTATCATTTGCATAAGTTAAGCATTACATCAAACTTTATATTGTTTTATGCCACACCACGGTGTGGTGAAAAGTAACAGGAGTAAACGTCATAATCACAAAGATTTACCGTTCGGTGTTGGGTAATCGGCGACCTAAATCCTTAGCCATTCTCGTAAGATTAAGATGATAATGAAATGGATGGCCGGGATACTATCTGTCTTCCACTAAACTCGGTTAGCACTGATAGGATTTGAACCTCCTGTCTTAAGGCTGTGAGCGAACCGGTAACTATCACTTAATCACGATTACATGGTTTTAGGTGAAGCGCTTGGAATGGTGCAGAGTAATTTCTCTACTATTGGCGCAGATCGTTTCGGCTCGCCATGAGCATCGTTATTGTTACCAGAATTTTACCGTTCATTTTGATGCTTCGTACAAGACATCGTCATTCATGCAATCCTTCTTGGTGATTGTTTTAATCTCGCCAAAAGGTCTGGATTACTCTTGGGATTCAATTGAAAACGTTGCTCCCTTTTATATTGGCTTCCGCAATCAGGCAGCACTGAAAAAGTCTTAATCCAAACGAAATTTGGACTGTCGCAGTTTATGTAAATTATTCTCTGGAGTAGATTTGTATCCGCAACTTGGTGGATTTGAGCAATAATTGAATGTCGTTTTTGGAACGAATCGCTTACATCCGTTATTTTCCCAGACAAGGTTTGAGCGGCACCGTACTTATCCGATTTCTTTTATCTGTTTTTCTTTAGATGAATCAACCGCTTCTGAACGCCAACAACGTTTCGATTTACTCTCGATTCCACCAAATCCCAAAACCTTGGCTCAACGCAGCCGCCAAGTGAGCATGGAAAGGCTACAGACTGTCGGACAGGGTCCCGTGGTGGCTGCAATTCGCACTACAGATGTGGATCCCGGCCTGCTTGTTAGACGTCGAGGTGAGACCGCAGAAGAAAAACAGAGACGGAAACTGGCCGTGAAACAGCATCGTCAGGAACGTCGAAAAATCCGCAAAACCAATCAAGCAAACTTCCGAGCGGAACACGAACGCCAGATGAAGACACAACTTAAAACATTAACCATTAGCTGACCTAGTTTCGTATCTTCGCGGATAGTCTAAATACGGTGATTCTTGTGGCCTTCGGATTGTTCTATCCACCAGACTGTCACAAAACGCATAGCGTTCTACTCTGAGGATGGCCGACTTCTGAAACGGACTCAAGTTCCTTCATTCTTCATCTTTCTTTCCTCAGTGCAATTTGTACGATCTTTGACAACTGGCGATAACAAACAATTTCAATTGATGATAAATAAAAAAATGTATTTGTACTTCCCTCTTTATTTATTAAATAAACAAATGTACAGTAAACTTTCTGGATGAGGGCCGCGACCATACGGGCTGCCGGGGAGAAGACGGGCAGCGGTTTGAATCCGGAACGCCCAGGTGACTACTTTCATGACTTTAACCTCTTGGCCACAACTGCCCTCTGTTATACATCCTCGTCAGGTGTGGCTCTTAACAGTTCTGACGGGTATCATTTAGCCTATGTTGATATGATAGCATCTAAATAAAAACAAGTCTGTGGGGCTATTTCTAGCTTGAATGAAATTCGATGGATGTTTTGTATCAAAAATCATAGGTGCGCGTAAACACAGTACAAATCGTGAGAAATAAGCTGACAGAATATTTCCGGGGAACCCAGACTGAATGAATCCTCTTAGTTTTCCAACAAGGTAATGAGTTGTTCCATTATCATATAAAACCTGATCGATCTGAGCGGTTTATTTGCCAAGACATTGCAGTTTGTGCCAGAACTACGTTCCCCGTAGGTGGCTGTATAAGCAGAATGAAGACCTAATTTAGAGTGCGCACTTCTATTTGGCAGATTTCGCAAATCGTATTTCAATTTCAATTTATTATATTCATAAAATCAGAACAGGCATAGGATTGCTCATGAAGAGTCACCTCAATCGACCCATTGATAGACTGCTACACATGGCAAGAATATGGTGAGGCCTTTCTCTTTTGGTCTGGAGGAAAATGAAAGACGCTAACCACTAGAGTAGAATAATTAGCCGCTTCGAATTTAAACAATGTTTCGGGGAACAAATTTACCAGGTATGAGTGACAGTTCAGTTCATTTTAAACAACCATTGAGCATGCATTTGCGTGTGGCGCTTTTGGCTGCCCATTTCGGTGAACAATAGGAGGAAAACAGGAAGTTTGAAAGTGGGATTGAAGAGAAAATTGAGAAGTTCAGTAGACTAATGAAGCAGGAAAAATTGACAAGATACACGAACGCCACTGTTTATGGCACTCAATGTCTCTAACCCTCGGTTACGACCATCCCGAGGTCCATATCCGGGGAGTCCAACGGGACCTATATGACCCAAACTACTGGTTAGGGTATGCATACCGTCATGCCAGGTCTTAGCTTGACCGCTCTGGGCTTTTTTCTACCCAATATCTGCCTCGACAAACATTGCTCGCCGTGGCAACCAACATGCGTAACACATGCCCCAAACAAAGCAATCTATGGAGGTCGACCACCTGCTCCAGTGGACGACCGCGGTTTCCTAAAATTTTGAGCCTGTCCTCAGCATTGTTCGTCTGGCTGCCCTACCAGACTCGAGCAATGCTGCGTAGACAGCGATGATCAAACACCGACAGTCTATCTTTATCCTGTTTTCTTAATGGCCAAGTTTCTACTCCATATAGCCGAACTGCCACAGCATACACTCGACCCTTCACAGACAGCCGGATGTCGCGCCACAGATGTCTCAAGTTGGCAAATACCAACCGAGCTTTCTGTATGCGCGCTGACACTTCATCCGTGATGCGTCCACCGGGTGAGATGTGGCTGCCCAAATAACAAAACTTATCCACCTGCTCTATTACTTCACCAGTTAGAGTGAGGCTGGGTGCTGGACCAACCCAGTTATCCAGAAATGCTTGTAACTTACATGAGTGACAGCCCAATCTAAAACGAGTTGAAAGACATTTTTACAACAGTGAGATGACAAAAGTTTGTGAAACGAGGCAATACCAAGGCACTGGACTGCTTCGGGTGCCACTAAGTTTTGGCTGTTAACCGTGAGATGAAGATTACTCAATAACATCAACACATCCGTCGATGTTTAGCGCAAGAGAATGGGACAGAGATCAGCTGCAAATGTTAATTCTATCTGGGATTTGGGGAAACAGTCAATATTTCTATAAAACGAGTCAGTTACTGCATGACGTGTATTCGCGGGTCACGACCTTGATGGAATCGGAAAGATAGCCCAAATAAAATTGGAAAAATAAGTAATGACAAGTAACCGGTAAGAAAGATTGTTTTAATGTTGGCAGAGGCCAGTTGTATCCTATCAGAGAAATAGTTGGTAACAGGGATCAATACTTCTGTCCCTAAGACATGGGCAGAAAGACGCAGGACGATAATCTAAATAATCGCTCCAGAGGTGTTGGCTAAATACAGGGTTTTCACACACATCACACGTTCTTGCGTCAGATACGTATACAAAAGTTAGTACAACATCTGCGAATCCAGCGGTGGATGGTTTATGCGCGTACCGGAGAATATAATTGGACGCTAAAAACAGAATTCTTTCTACAAATGTTAGCTATCATTTAGAGCTTCCTAAATTCATTGTGGGAATGCACTTTATCCGAGCAGATATTCAACAATCAAAGTCCGTTGCAGAGGCGATGTGCAATTTAAAAAAAACCAAGATTGGATGAGATAAATTGTTTAGCATCGGATTCGGTAGCACTAAAACGTCACACAAGAAACCTGCTCAACTCCCTGAGAGCATCAGTACAGAAACTAGAGCGGTATATGCATCAGAGGAAATATTCTGGATCTACTGTTCGGAAATGGGTGTGCCAGGTTTAAACCGTTAACCAACAACGTATGCACAAAACAGATGTATAAGCAATTGACTTAGTTACAGGATTCCGTCAACCAGATGGGACCAAGAGCGAAGTTTTCAGTCAACCCAGAACGGTATGTTCGTTATTTTGTCTGCTCTACCATAGATACTGAGGTTTTGTAAGTACTTGTCCTAGGATTCAATTTCGCTTCATCGTCCAATGGAAACAAAAAATTACGGATTGAGTGGCAGTTTGAGAATCTGTACTCTCAAACCGGGTTATTGATGACAACACTATAGGTTTTCAACTTCGACTAAATCCGTTGTAAATTCAAGCGGATACTAACAATCGTATTCCACCGCTATTGTAGAACATGTTTGGTGTTTCGGTCATTAAACGTTGCCGGGTCTGTCTGAAAACTACCAGCCCGAATGAACGAAATTTTCCGCAAACAAACAAACAGAACTTTTGGGATAAGTTGAAGAGCGAGGATGAAAGTTTCGGTGGGGTGGAGCGGTCTGCTCTCCGCATCCGCCCTAATCGGAAACGTTATGTCCGTAATCGTTGATCCACTGTCGAACTGCCCAACCTAGTTCTGTTGGTGTTGTATGATGGTTTACTTTTAACAACTTATAAACTTCCCACAGTGATTTACCTTTAATCACCATATGTCCTGGATAACACTGCCTACCCAGCGGCTGTTTCTGCATGCGATCACAATCTAAGAAACAGTCGTTTACTGGTCGAGACAAGCAGAGATCCTTTTCGCCGGAGGAAGAGTGTTTTAAGGTACTACTCACATTTGTGGGTAGTATGTAAACGAGTGTGGTTAGCGATTTCCATCTACGGTCAAAAATTATCAATACAACTGAGGGCAAATTGCTGTGTCTCAAAGAATAACTACGGACTGCTCCATTACCCGATGTGCTGCCGGGGATTCCGATGACATGTTTTAAATGAGATATCCGTTATATGTACGCCAAATTATTGAGGTATCAGGTGCAGTCTTTACTAAACAGCTTTCTACGACTGGGCACCGCCTTATGGAATGATAACACTTGTGGCTTCCTTTTGACAGTGGGAGAAGTCTTCACACTTCATTGGACGGCTAACGCTAGCTCAAGCTCTGCAGCTCCTAGCCAATAAGACGACTTCCCGTCCGCTTTCCGCTTATCTCATTGGGTTCATGAGACTAAGGGCCAATCCCGGACAGCGGACCGACAATCAACGAACCAACAAACATCATACTGCAACGAAACCCAAAGACTTTGCGTGGTAGGTCTCTGGAGGTTCCCACACGGATGCTTCGTTCGCTCTCCTGCGTTGGATCTACGCCCCACTGCCTTATGGATCAGACCTTTGAATAAAAGGATGCGGTTAGATTTGTCAAAGAAAAACCGATTCTTCGGTGTGGGCTGCCGCGAAGTACGCCCTGCCCTGAGTCCTTAAGCATCCATTTGAAAAATCCTCTTTCTCATCTTTCTAGTTTATCCTTTTAATTGTCTGAATAATGCCGGACGCCTCCCGTTTACGCCAGCCATCTGATATCATTCAGCGTTTTACTAGTAAGGTTGAACAATCAGAAGTTATGGGATTTGCAAAGCCAAAGTTCCCTTTTCGCTTAGACGCTTTCAATATCCACGCATTAACAGATCGGTGAACATGCTGACTTAGCAAAAACCCTTGAAACGTTCAATTTAGATGTATGGTGTGTCTCCGAAACACGCATACAAGACCCTACTTCAATCATCTCTCTGATTTCTCCTGATCAAACCTCAAGGTCTCGCTTCACCCTCTGTGTCAGGCGACTCAACATTCGAAGTCTGCGCTGTTGTTCGGACGGTCAAACCAAGCCCTGGCATGAGGGTATGAAAACCCTAACCAGGAAACTGGTTCAAATAGGTCCCGTTAGGCTCCATGGCTGGGGACCTCCGGACGATCACAACGGGCGATTAGAAAGACTACGTGATATGGCTGAGTGCCGTCAACAAAGGCATTCCTGCATGTTATTCAGTTCTTTGTATCATTGGTCCACTTAGATGCTCTGTTTTCTCTTCGGCTTTACTTTCAACTTTCTTGTCTTTTTCCTACGGTTCATCCAAATGGGCGGTCAAAAGACAGCAACCAAAAACCGGTGTACGAAAGCGCACGGTTACTGGTTGTATAAACTGAAAGGGAAAATGCATTCAATTATCGATTTGTAATTTCATGGTCTG